GAACGTGAGTGAGCCAGTATCACTACCAGGCTAACGGCGATGAACGTGAGTGAGCCAGTATCACTACCAGGCTAACGGCATGATGATCATAAGTGAGCCAGGGTCACTACCAGGCTAACAGTGGTGAAACACCAGGCATAAGGCAGGGAACAATCCAGGACATAGCACCAACCCACCTGAGGATATACTTACCATTCACACACATCATTCACACTAGGGACAATTTGGCAGCATTTTTAGAGGATAAATTAAGTTGTTAAGATTTGGGACGCATGTAGCTGAAATCAGAGCAGATAGTGTGATGTAGACTTGCCCATGACAAAGAATGACAGACATTTTCACTTGATATATAAGTCTTGCTTCTCTGGAATGAGGTCAAACAACCTTCCATGCTACTAGGTGTAAATTTTTACCAGTTAGGAAACTTATGTGAATCACATATGAAACTTTCTCGGATAAGCAGTAATAAATTAAATTAATGAAAGCTTTTATAAAACAGACTACTAACTTTCGACTAATAGTGATCTTTCTGATTTCAGCTGTTCATCATAAAGCAAGAGGGCAGCTGTTAAATTTGCTTATAATGTGGGGATCGAGGAACGGACCTGCTATTCTGCATTATTGTGCATTTGTAGGTGTGCATGTGTGAGTGAATGGTGCATGAGCGTGTCCTGCAATGGGCTGGCCTGGGTTGTTCCCCGCCTCGTGCCCGTAGCTTCTGGGATAGGCTCTGGACCCCCCGCGACACAAAAAGGATAAGCGGTTTGGAAAATGGATGGATGGATAGATTGTACATTTGAGAAAATGGAATAGGTTATACAGCTGGAAATTTCATGGATTAATTATGTACTTCCGTATTTCACAACAGCTTCATTTCTAACAACTGTATGACTGGAACCACTAACTAATCCAAGTTCCTGACAAACATGTTATCTGATACTCTCACGATTCTTAGGGTTTGAGAATGTGAATACAATAGTGGTATGTTATTCGCTCTCATGGGGAAATTTTTTTTTTCGACATCTTGCTGTCCATGAGACACAGACAGGTCAGATCAGGCTTGGGGGGGGGGGGGGGGGTTAAGGACCTCACTCAGGGGCCCAATGGTGGTATCAGTCTACCAGCCTGGGAATTCAAACAGGCAATCTTCTGATCACGGGCCCTCTGACCCACACACTAGGCCCCTAAAGTGCATAGAGACTTCAGTCTCTACATTCTCAATAGGGTGCCCAGTCAAACAAAACCATAATTATCACACTTTTGAGAATACAGCACTTGCACCATTACATCACCCAGTCTATGACTGTTCTATGGTATTCTGAGTATTAAATTACTGGTCCAGGATGGTATCAGAGCTTAGGGCATTGCTGCCAGATCACGTATCATAAAGGGACTGAACTGAATGGAAGGTGTGCAAAGACTCATTAGACTAAATAAATGTAAAATCACAATGGATTATTCTGTGAGACGTTTCAGACACACACTGCGCTCAGCTCACGCTGCTAAGTGCACATCTACATCAGGATTCCATTCATAACCTTTTCTGTGATGCTACATTCCATGCAAAAGTGTGCAAGGGACGGATAGGCCTGTGTGGTGGAACAGGCCTTGCAGAAGAAACCGCAAAAACACGTTTACTCAGAGAAATCCGGGAGAGGAGGCGACTTCCTCCACTGCACTATATATCTGATGGAAGGATTCAACTTACACAACGACACAACTTATTTACAGAATCAGATTGCTTTCTATTTACATTTAAATAATACCTGACCAAGAGTTACACAAATGGCCGCAAAAAAAAAATCCAGTGTAAGATTGTATGTTGCCATGGGATTTATCGCCGACCACAAAAAAAAGGTTTTCGAAGCAATATCCTGACAATATATAAAAGTGAGAACCAAACGATCCCCAAATCTCACAGTGCATTGAATGCTTAACGAGCTAGAGCCTCTTACCAGAGTTCCGCTTCTCCATGCCGGATGGCCTCCCGAAGAGGGTACCGGTGTACGGCGGTCTCGGAAGCTGACTTGCTATCTGAGGGTGAGGCTGCATACCCGACCTTTTCCACAGGAGATGTTGGCCCCTCCCACACCCTTTAAAGAGTACCCGTCAGACCAGTACAGTGTTCGCACTTCCAGTTTTTCCTCATGCATTCCTGCATGTTCCCTTGTGTTAAAAGCCTTTGGGGGCTGCAATAGTCATACTGAAGTGTAGTATTACATTTTTAATATGTAATAATGTTCTTTAAGCTGGAAGATGAATTTCATGTTATACAGTACCTAGTCTCAACTGCTGTGCATAGTCCAAAAACGAGCTGTTCTGTACTGAAGAACACAGAGATGCAGATGGAGGGACACAGGAACAGCAGAAGCGTTTAGCAAACTTTTATTTTCGTTTTCCTACAAACACATAACAGCTTGTGCTCATGCAGAACGGAGCATGAGCGTTTCGTTCTGACTGTTTAGAACCCAAAAAGTGCATAGACACAGGGGGCACGGAGTTGTGCAAACTCAGACCTGATGCAATCACATTTAACGAGAAAAAGAAAGCAGGCATCTAAATGCAGCTGAATCGGATGTCGGAATCAGTTCTTAAATTTACTTTTCTAACAATGAAATGTACCACTTCTGATGAGCGGAAATGAATGCAGGTTAACTATAACCTTTAGCAGCTGGATCCACTGCCAGATATTCAGCAGGACAAGCCGGCTAGTCAACAAGCCCTAGTGGGCATGAGGCCGCCCCCGACCACGCCCCCGCCCTGCAGGGAGGGCATCCATAGAGGCTCGGGGATTCTTGATGGTCTCATCCACCGACAGAATAAGGCAGGCGGCCTCAGAGGCTGCAGTAAGGGCGTTGATGCGCACCACTGACGGCTCCCACACACAAGCCTGGAAGTTGTCAGCAATGTCCTCATTGTTGACGTCCACGCCATACCACATGCCACCCTGCAGGGGGAGACAGTTCATGTCTGAGGCACACTTTTTCAGGTTGGCATGGGAAACAGTAGTGATGGCCCAAACAAAGCTTCTTAAATCATTTGCTCAACTTGTATTTTCTCAACCCCACTAGACTGTTCAAAAAGGCCTGAAACCATGCCTCAAAGCAAACCAAGAGCACCATCTACTGGGGATAAAAAAATACAGCAAATGGTTCATGAAGCTTCATTTGCACATCGCTAGGAAACAGATGAACAGGCCTGGCACTAAGTCAAAGAATGTGTGCATGTCACACCTGGGCATGCTTGGCCCTCAGCTTGTTGAGGATGTTGGTGGCATCAAAGCCAGCGTTGTCGCACAGCTGGCGGGGGATGATCTCCAGGGCCTTGGCGTAGGCGCCAATCAGCAGCTGCTGCTTGCCCGGGATGCTGCGGGAGTAGTCTCTCAAGTAGCGAGACAGCTCCATCTCTATGGCCCCGCCTCCCGCCACAATCGAGTCATTCTGGGGGGGGGGAAAGGGCAGGGTGGTCACAGCCTTTGGTGAGCACCCCCACGGCCCCCCACCAACAGGACCTCTGTCACCCCCCACCTTTATGGCACGTCGCACAATCATGATGGCGTCGTGCAGAGACCGCTCCGTCTCCTCCAAGAACTGCTCGGCGCCGCCCCGCAGGATGATGGTGCACGTCTTTGCTTTTGGGCAGCCCTTGAAGAAGTTGTACCTGTAGGTGGCAGTGTTGTGTAGCTCCTGCTCCAGTACTGTTCACACATGTACTTGGGTATTCATTGGAAGCTCAGCCTGGCTGCACTAGTTGCCTCTGACAGCATGTATGTTTGCAATGTGCCGTTCGCATCACTTGTATGTTGCTTTGGACAAAAGCACTTGCTATATATGTAAATATAAGATGATCAATGTAACCCAGAGCTGTCGCTTCAGTACAGACCGTTCCCATCCCTTTCAGACACATACCTCTCACCTCCAACCTGGACCTCCTCAAAGAGGGCACATTCCCCCAGCACATCATCGGTCATGGAGCCTACACTGGTCTGGATGGAGCCCCCACAGGCCTGGAGAATGTATTGCACCAAATGTCTCATAATGCATTGAACATGTGTGAAAGGGGTACAGATCACTTAAGAGGCAGGTGACCATGAACTTATAGGAACAGGACAGATTAATGGACTGTAGAACACAGCAGCACGAAGACCTAGAGCAGGAAATGTAACCATATTTACAGTGAAACTGATGTGGAGTTTTAGCCTTGATCAGGATGTAGGAGATGTCAGTGACCAGCTTTACAAGGACAGCAAGTGCCATCATGTCCAGAGGTCCAGCAATTTTCAAAATCACTTTCAAAAAACAGGATTTATACACACGCCAGGTGTTTGCTCAGTCACCCCACTACCACGATTGCTCTGCTTAAGCAATATCCACACACAATCTGTCTGTGGTCATTTTCAGGAAAATGTTGTAGGGACATTTGTACTACAACACATAGGGAAAAAAATATCAGAAGGCTTTGTGTGGCGTTCCTACCATCATAGTCCTCTTGAGGTCTTCTTCCTGCACTCGGCCAGCACAGAAGAGGTCGCGATCAGCGAAATATTGTGTGGCTACATCCCCGATGGGGAGTTTGGACAGTACCACTTTGGCCCCAGACTTATAGATCTTCTCCAACTTGTCATACAAGATGCTCCACTCAGCATCCACAATGGCTTGGTAGTCCTGAAGAGCACCATTGGAAAGGCAAACATTACCTGCGGTCCTCATTCAACAGATAGTGGTATGGGAGCGTAGACAATATTCACAGTTAGGCTAACTTGCTAACCTCCACAGACTTTACACGGACTTCAGCATTGTCCTTCTCAGCTTTCAGCTCCAGCTCCACATTGAGCAGAGCGATTTTGGGGTTCTGATAGCATTTTGGCTGCATCTCAAAGCCTGCATAGGAGAAGGTCTTTTTGAAGGCCACGCCTGCCACCAACTGAGAGTCCTGCAGACAGGGACACACACTCGGGTGATGAACATCGACCACAATGCAGCTGGATTGTATACACCAAGATAAAAGCGAAATCAAGTAAACACACTCAAACATGGCTCTAAAACAGCAGCACCGCTTTGTCCACTGATACTTCTTTCATGAACATGCTCATCAGGTCAGCCAATCAGCACTCACTTCCAAGGCACCTCCATGGACCTTTTTCATCCCAATCATTTTGAGTGGCAGCAGCTCATCCAACATCATGACAGCATCCACCACCATCTTGGAGAAAAACTCTTTCTGCCCAGCAATGAGTTTAGAGTTGAGGGCTGTGGCAGCACATCTCTCCAACAGCCCCATCTGCTCCCTGGAGGTGTGGGAATCACACAGTAAATTCACAACCAAGCAGCATACAGAGCAGCCTTCTGCTCCATTCATTAGTAGAACATACTCTGATATCACACTAAAGAAGGGGTATCAGACTCCAGTCCTGGGGGGCCAGAGCCCTACACATTTTTTGGTTTCCCCACATTTAACACAGGAATGAAGTTTGACACCCCTGCACTAAAGCATGCTGGGAATCACCCCCCCCCCCACCACCACCACTCACTGCTTGTCATCCTTCTTTACTGCTACAGATATTTCCTTGATCTTCTTCACAGCCTGTAGGAGAACATGGAAGCTTGTTTATGCGTTTTGCTACAGACACAGATCGACAAGTCTGTCTTACTGCTTTCCGAAAAAACGGGCATTTTAAAAGGTGCCATAGAATGCATTTTTTCCCCCACCATTTTAAATTGATTACAAAGATTTATTAACTTGGTTTGGTATAAAAGTGCCCAGAAGCGGTCTTGCAGGGTCATTTAAAACCCTATTATTATTTATCAATGACAAACCACATTTATGACAGTGGCCCCATAAGATTATGATGGAGCTGAAAAATTCCTATTACCTAGTGGTGTCAGAGAGAAATGCACTACTCATGTGTTTGTGCTGATGTTGGTCTGAACAAACCTACTGCGCTGCTAATAGTGTAAAAGTATAGGACATAATTATGCACAGTACATAATACTTGATAATGATAAACATGTTAATGGTTTTTATGTATTCACCATAAGGTACTTTTTATCGTTAGAGTGCACTCTTTCTACTTCGCCACAGATAACTGTAACACTTCCAAATCAACCTAGGCACAATGTTAGCAAAGTCACAACTGTTTTCAGCACTGTAAACAGAACATTGCTTACTGTGCATCTCAATCAACAAATCATTTTACGATGCTAGCTTCCTCATGCAGTTTTTAAATCGACAACTCCTGAGCCGCTTGTAAATGTGTTGTTTGCAATAAGTTTGGACCTCTGCTTTCAACAGTGTTTGAGCATTCACAGAATGTCATTTCCATGTACTGAACTCTCATTATTCAACTAGGCCGAGGTTAAGTGAGACTTTCATTCTATGGCACCTTTAAAAACACACCCGGTTGGCAAACCTGAATTAACAAAGCGATGGTCCATTTTTAAACATGGTTGCTACACAATTTAAAAAAAATCACACTCAGATGTCTTTTCAAAGACCTCAAAAAAAAAAAAGAATATAATGATCCCACTGCATGTGTGTGAAGACATTTTAGAAGAGACTTTAAGGACCGACGGAACATTGACGCAGGGAGATGACAGGCCAGGCCTACGACCCCTACCAGGTGTGTCGCTGTGCGGAAGGCACGGATGATGATCTGCGGGTGCATGCCCTCCTCGATGTACGATTTGACCTGCTTCAGAAACTCGGCAGCCAGCAGAGTCACAGAGGTCGTTCCGTCACCCACCTGAAGAGGCCAGAGACACATAGAGCTTCTTAGACTTGTGTACAGGACAGTGGCATGTTCTGATACTATATACATAGATTGATACCCAACTGCAGTGTCTCACCTCCGCATCCTGGGACTTTGCAATGTCCACCAAGGTCTTGGCAGCAGGATGAACCACATCCAAGAGCTTCAGGATGGTGGCCCCATCATTGGAGATGGTGGCTTTGCCTGCAGGGATGGAATAGTGACGGTTAAGAGGCTCAGTCACTATGGGCTGAGAAAGGGCAGAAGGTGGGCT